AAATCATAATTTCAATCAAGCATCATTTTAAAAATCCGCATTCAACTTCACATATCAGCGAGAAAAAGAACCAGCCACATGAAGTAGTATGCAGCTGGTAAGAACATTTTTAAAAAAATCTCATGAAATTTCTTTCATTTTATCACTAGAGGGCGCCAAGGTTCAAGGTTTTTTTAAATCACGATCTTTCTTTTCTGTACGTTTGGCTCGCTAATCTCTCCATCTTATGCTCTCTCTTCACGTTCCTAATTGACATCAGCTTAATGCCACCGTAATGGACAGTGCTAATGGATCCTCCTTAATCGATATTTCCCGGAATGCTAACTTTCCTTCCCTGCAATGCAATTCATGAAATTCGCTTCTCCGGAAAATTCTGGATATATTAATTTTTATTATTATAAAAAGGGGGGGATGAAATTTTTTTTGTTGACAGCTAAATTGGGGGGAGATATGGGAGGAAGCCATCGCGAACGAGTTCCAGCTGCCTTTCGACCGCGAAGAATTCCGGTTGGACGTGTACGAGACGAAGCCCTGGTGGTCCTCGGCGACGAACCCGTCCAACGAATTTTTCCTCCCTCGCCCGGAAGAATCCAATATCACCTCCTATTGGCAGGGCCTGGGGACCCTCCTTCATCAAACGCCAAAGAGGTGACTCCCTCGGGAGGATTCGAAAGGGAAAAGTCCCCTTTCGTGTGAAATGGCATGAGGCTTCATCCCGTGGAGGTCTGTGGGGAAAGAAAATGAGGTCGCGGCAAAGGAAAAAAAAAAGATGCCGTTGTTCCCTTGGTGGCGACTTTAGCACGAACAACTAGGCAGTTACGTTACACTGCAGTTATGTAACACCATGCAGTTACATAGCGCTATGAAGTTATGTAACCCTCTCTCGTCTAACATCTCTGCGTTTCTTTGATATCTCTTTCTCGATCGTGTAAGCGAAATTGAGCCAAGCATTTCCCTACAGATATTAAATATAAAAATTTTCATGAAGTTGAAAATATTGACGTGCTCCCCAATTATGTTTCCCTGTCGTCCTTCAAATGTAGATTAGTTTCTCATTAAAATGTTTAATGGCTCAAACAATACCATCTCCGGCATTCCCATATTTGACAAAAAAAATTAATTGAATTAAAAAAATGGATTATGGTTCCTTAAAGTGTTCTATGGGGCTACGGCATGTGGCGATACGTGATGGAATGCTTGCCTTCCATGGGGGAGAGGCTGAGGTCTCTCCGGACGGAATTGGATCGCCTGCTCCTTCGGGTTCCCTCAGTCGACACGTGAGTGCCGTCGCGGCCGTCACACACGGCGTTGTTGTCGCCTTTGGGGTGAGTGGAACGATTTGGCAGGGACTTGGAGTGTGCCGAGACGGTGGTTCGGGAGATGAATCCCCTGGCGGCCCATTTGTGGATCCAGGACCCGAGGGTCTTCCATCCCGATTCCCTGACTCAGGTCAGTGCGGGGTCGTTTCTCGTTCGGTCGAGGTTCATTTCATATGGATGAAGGCCGGGAGAATCAAATCTCCCTAATTTTTTTTTTATCGATCGGCTTTTGAAATAGCGGGGAGAAGAAAATCGGGTTTTCGTTGGCCGTGGAGCTTTCAACTCTAACCAGAGGGAGAACATAACTATGGACAACGCCGAAGCAATCAATTTTCATTATATTCATTATCCATGCTATGGTAAATTTATATGGTATGGAAATTGACCTTTAAATGCATGAAGTGGTACTAAGGGGACCCAATGTGCACAGACCAGTGGTGTAGCGAAGGTATGAATGCATTCGCCAGCCCGCCCCCCGCAACCCCCCCCCCCCGCCCGAGGAGGAGTTTTTAGCTCTCCCATTGGCGAAACCCTGGCTACGCCATTGGCATGGACCGTGCCTGTATCTCGCATATGATATGCGATGGAGTCATCTCTCGCGTATTCCTCTACTATAATGTTGTCTACTTGCAAATACTGTATACCCATTATGATAACGATTCTCATACAGAGGGCAAATGGAAAATTTCCCTTGAGGAGTTATTCCCTTAGGTGCCATTGGTTCTACGGACACTGAGGCATTTTCCACAAGAAAGGATTTTCAAACAAAGATACAGAAAGTTTCAGGTAAATTGAACAAAGCCATGTCTTTCGACGAATTGGTATTCTGTCGGTTCTCCCTTGGGATTCCCCTGAATTGGGAATCCCCTCTGGCGCAAGAGTGTCTCCTCATTCGAGACACCTCGTCATACCCCGCAGATCCTCCGCAATTGAATTTAGTTGCTGAGGTATTTATTTGCCTTGAGTGATGGCAGGCTTTCAGAATGTTACTCTATTCCCCGGAAATTCCCCAAGGACCCTGCAGGAGACGACGACGACCTAATGCATTTAACGGATAAAGGTTTTTCCGAGGAATACACGCTTGGATTCTGAGGGGCGAGAAAGAGACAGAGACTCCCACAAAGACACATTGAACCCCATGAACCCATGTTATTCTGTTCGAGGGGGTAGAAAGGAATCTAGTGATTAAAAACCCTTGAATGCCACATGCCTTAGAGTACATGGGATTCCAAAGGAACGTCCTGAACTGAATTGAAATCGACTTCCGACCGTGTTGACAGGTATCGGCAGCGTTCCAGGAAGGGAAATCCTTCTTCCAGGAGCGGATTCGGTCGCAGGATTGGCTGAGTCGGAGCGAGAAACGCCGCTGGATGGACTGGGCAAGTCTGCCGTTGTTGGCTCGCTTGCATCGCGTAGCCATAAACACGGGGAAAATTATATTTGTGAGTGTGAACAGGTGGGGGACATGGAAGCCTTGATCGGTTTTCCGGAGCAATTACAGGACGAGATCGACATCGACGAATACTATCAAGAGGTGCGGAGAGGGCCTCGTTTCCCAGAACACATCGAGAAAATTGTGTCATTAATTCAATTATTTTTAACTCCATCCCTCAATATGTACATAGCTGGAGATGAAGGAGGGGGAGCACTTCTTCTTTGCTCTCCTGACGCTCAGACGATTCCTGGCGAAGAAGGAGATGAGGAAAATCGGCACCTACGACGGCACGTGAGTTGGAACCTTCATTGCCTCCCGCAATGTGGGAAGTCATTTAATAAATTAAAAAAATAAAAAATAAAGTACACTAAATCCGAATGCATGACCCAATGCAGACCGCTCGGGAACCCGCTCTACTCGCAGTTCAAACCATTTTGATGTATCGGGAAATTAACTAGACGAATCACCATATTCACTCGTGACAAGCACTCGTACGAGGTGAAGCTCAGCTTCCGCTGCTCCCTTCAAAGAAGTACAGATTCACAATCGCGTGAGAGCAATCATGTTCTGCATGAGCGTAGCGTGGAGGGAGTGCGGGGGGGGGGAGAGGGGAAGGGGAGCACGGGAGGGAAGGGGGAGGGGGGAGGGGGGGAGGAAAGGGAGCACGGGAGGGAGGGGGAAGGGGGGAAGCACGGGAACACTCGTCGAGATCTTGCTAAAACGACTTGAAGTGATTAAGAACGAGGGTGGACAAAGAGATATTGAAGGGCACTCCTGCTTCACTCAGCCATGCATTCCCATTGAGAGGAATAGAATGAGGGAAGTTGTGGAAACAGGAACGAGCTGAAATACAGCGCCGGAAGACCTGACGGATATTTGAAGAGTTTGGCCGACAGGGCTCACTAGTCAGAAGGACCCAGGAAATGGCTTTGGCTTAGAACCGTACGGCCGAAAATAAGAACACAAATCGAGAGACCTGAAGATCTAGGGTCATCGTTCGGCACTTCATGCATCTTTTCCTTCTTCCTTTTAGCTTTAGTTTTTTTTTTTCATTTCAAAAGTGAGGAGGCGCGAACCGTATTCGAACCGTAACACTGCTGCTTCTTGCAAGTGATTTTCGCGATTAGTCCTGTGCACTGCTACAGAATTTCTCCTTTTGGTTCAGGAGTTGGGGCGTGCCGATCCTGTGGGTGAATGCCTTCTACAACATGCAACGAAACGTCGTCGGTGAGCAACTCTCTCTTTGCGCACACTCCCTCGATTTCCCCTGAAGCAGATGATAGCAAATCCCCCATCGTTGTCTCGATCGTATCTCCACGGTCGGTTAAAACGGAGAGGGAATTCCGGCTGGGAAAACGGATCGCGGAAATGAGCCTTTCGGAAAGGAACCGTGGACGTTGATGACTTTCGATCGTTCCGTCGAGCAAAGTCGGACTTAATCACACGGCGATGCACCAAGAAAAACTGCAGTGCTATGTTTCGGCCTGAAAACAAGGATAGGTTGCATTTTTCCCCCCAACATGATCATGACTGCAAGGACCAACTTAAGATTTCCCACGGTGCTGATGTAACGATTTTTATGACAAGTGACATGCGAAGAAGAGCATTATCCTGTATTTCCTCCCAGGCACAGAATGTAAGATCCAACAGTCCTACAACTGTGCGTTTTTCTGTTTCTCTTTCGTGCCCCCGCCCCACCTTTTTTGCTCAAACATATGACAGCAGATAACATCAACATCGATACGAATAGCATCGGCATCGATCGCGTGAGGGAGCACGGAGCGCGCAAATGGGCACTGCCCACTTTCACGTTGCCAAAGAAAAACGGTGGAGGAGGTGGGGCAGGTGGGGCAGATGGGTCATTTGATCACCTTCATTGTTTCCTCCGCCAGGGTTTCCCGTTGGAGTCCTGCAAGACCCGTTCTTCTACCCTCATCCTTCGTCAGTTTCATCTCTGTTGTGATATTTCATTCCATCTCTCCTTGAAATTAATTATTGCATCGCGTCTCTCTTGCAGATACGCCACGATTGCTCGCCTCGGATTTCTGATCGGACACGAGATCGGGCACGGAGTTCACAGATTCGGTAATTCTCGATCCGCCTTTGGCTCAAATGCACAAACCTCATTTAGGGGGGATAAAGGGAGCTTTGAGCTAAAAGCCTTTTTCTCCCATAGGAGTCTATGTACTCTTAACGGTCTGTTAATTATAGGAGGTTTCAGCATTCGGGCTTGAGAATTTGATATTTTATCACAATAAAATTTAATTCATTCTTCGCCAATTGCCAAATGGTATACATTGCACGCATAACTCGCTTTGACATTTTACACATACGTTCCAATGTTATAACTTTCAGGAATTACGCTTATGGAAGCGGAGGAGGAATTATTTCGTCGACGGAGATGCCTCGTGAATCAGTACAGCCAATTCCCCCTCAACGGGAACCACGAATTCGTGAGACTCCCAAATCCTCTCATTACGAGCCTTTCGACAGCCGCCTCATTGCAGACGGTTATGCCCGACACAAAGGTCGACGGGAACATGTGCCTGAACGAGAACGCGGCGGATCTGCTGGGGATGTCCTTCGCCTGGCATTCGTTCCAGGAACATTCCCGGGAGCTTCCTCTTCCTCCCATCAACGGAATGACTCCGGAGCAAATCTTCTTCCTCTCCTTCGCTCAGGTAAAAATACCGTGAATTGCCATATACGCTGGAGATAATGAATAGTTTCTCCTCGGTCTCCCGACAGTTCGACCAGAGACGACAGGGACAATACCTGAGTTATCCAATGAATGCGATGGCGATGGAATGCTTCCATTGACTCCGTGCGAAAAAAGCGTAACATTTTCCACATTTTGTAAGCTCAACAATTGGTCAACACTGGATCTCCCTTCTTGCTTTAGGCAAATTCAATGAGTCATTCATTCACGAGAAAGAACCGAGTAAACGGCATAGGAATATTTAGTTCGAACATGGCTCCAGGTAGCATTTACCAGTTCTCGTTGTAAGCGGACTTCTCTAAATGATTCATTTTTCTTGCCGGAAGAAAGAGAGCAATCAAATGCAGTCGCATATGTGGTTAGTTACCAAAATTGTCACCATTGTCTGCCAACAATAAGCTTTTTTTAAATTGTTAAAACAAGTAAATAAAAAAAGCTCATTAGGGGACGAAATAGGCCATTCATAAAAAATATATCAAAAGGGAAAATATATCAAAAAGCTCTGCAGCAACGAATCATGTCATTCCATCGATTTTGCAGAGGAGGAAGTGGTATATCACTTTCCTATCCCATTATCCTCCCCACCCTCGCGACTTATCTTACATTCCACACTTCGCCTTCTGCCAGGTGATCTAATCATTGGTTGTAAATAGGGCAACAAGAAACATTTTCATTCATCCTAATTTAGATGTGGTGCGAGGCGAAGGAAAAAAGAGATACCTGTCCGTCGATGTCGGAGTACTTCTACAGTCCCCCGAAGTACCGCGTGATGGGCCCACTTCAGAACATCCCCGCCTTTGCCCGTGCCTTCTCCTGCCGCCCTGGTTCCTTCATGAACCCTCACACCTATTGCCCCTATTTCTCATAGTCATCAACTGAGGACGAGGAGTCTGGCTGGAACCCCTCCTCTCAATGTTGGATGGAAGAGGGGGAAATCCTGCGCTTCTCCCCTTCTATGTCAGTCACGTCTACATCCCGAATATGGCATTCCGTCCTTAAACGTGAGTCCCATTCCCTTCACCCTTCTTCTCGATCTATCGTTAATCATTTCTTGGGGGAAGACGAGGAGCTTTGGGGTAACTACGGCCATCTCTTCTGAATAGATTGTGGGGAAAAGGCAGTTCGTTGTCAGAACGGAACCATTACTGAGCCGTTCCCACTTTTGATCACCCTGGTTTTTGCTTCATCACAAAAGATTAGGTAACTGCCGAAACAACTTTTCCCGCGATTATAAAAAAACCTCGGGTCAATTTCACACTAGAAGCTTAGCATTACGTCTGCGGAAATATATTACTCCTTGATGTAATAATACATCACATAGTATATGACTTCAGAACTGGATCTGCGCTTGGAATAATTTCAAGAGAAATTCATTGCTCGCCTGCAAGATTGTAGACAAGGAGCTTTTGAGTGTCCACCCAGACGAACTCGTAAAGCCGACTAATTTGAGTAGAAATAGAAACGAGCAGGAGCTTCTAATAGCGAAATAATTGGAGTCTGACTTCCTACATATGCTGAATCTATGTTGCCATGGTTACATGCAAAGCATCATGTGTGCTGAAGCCGTGTTAGATTTACATAGTGGTTACAAGGCTCGTTGAAGTTTCAGGGTTTCTTTTTTCTAATGTTGGAGTTTAATGGGGATGGAGATTGAACACGGTGATCCGGATTAATCTTTGAGCGGCCTATGGGTTCATTCCAACGAAATCCCAGCTGGAATTGGAATGGAATCCTTCCAGCTGATTTTCTCAATTCCTCAATGTCAGTTCATGCCTCAGTGACGCCATCCATTTTCCATGAATATATAAAAATTCCAAAGAAAACAGGCCAACTTCTGCGGCCTAGTCGCACGATGCTATTTTTACCTCCCGGAAATTAGACAAAAACAAATATCCCCCAGGGGAGCGGAACCGGATAGAGAATGACAGGTCGTAAAATGCGAGTCGACAGCACGTTCCTTTCGTGCCACTCTCCATCTCTTCGTGCCACTCTCCATCTCTCGCACTAGACTTGAAGGCATCGACTGTTGACTAGCGCAGATGAGCGTGACAACAGGGAAATGCAGTGTCAGCTCGCATCTTACGAGACGTCGTTGCTGTCTCGCACCTATTCGCGATCCTTTCCTCTCCTCTATAGTTCTGCATACAATAATTTCCCAATATAGGTCATGGAGATTTGAAAGCGTTTAAATATTGCGGCTTCATGAAACAATCTTGGTGCGAGACCGAGTGGCTGATCTATCCTCTAATAATAATGGATTTTCGCAACGAAATGAAAAACATTATGATGTCCAAACATGGACGAATGAAAGAAAATATTTTGATGCACCAGTGAGTGTACTCCACGGAAACTTAAATTGATGTTATGGTCTGCAAAAAAAAAAAACGAAAAGAGGAACATGAATGGCTCGTAGGTGCATGGGCCATCAGGGTCCTCTGCAAGACAAGAATCGAATCATGGTCTGAAGGCTGTTTTCGCAAGTATCAAAAAGACAATGTGGTGTGAGTACATTCAGAGAGAGCCTGAACGATCTTGCAATTAAAATGTCGGTCTTCTACAGGAATCTGCCAGAAGTGCTTTTTTTTTAATAATTTATTATGCTATCTTTTTTGTTGTTTTAGAGGTTTGTAGACTGTAGGAAGAGTCACAACTTTGAACGTTATATCCCGTGCTGGATTTTTTTGTGACGTCACTTTAAATTTCCGTGGAAAACTTGCTCAATGCTCGCTCAACACAGATGCAACTTCCAGAGATTTAAAAATATTATAAAGATGGCTGCATTTTGAGGAAGGTGGCTGCAGGTGTCAGAATTGTCATTCTGCTACACAAGAAGTCCTGTCGATTTTGGGTTTTGGAAGGTAAATACACTCGAGGTCTTGTCACAAAGACTTGTGATGAGGACGCGCACTGAAACAGCCACGATGGGTTTTTTTTTTAAGGAGGGTTCAACTTGAAAAAAAATTTAAACTCGTTCGCTTCATGTACCACACACTAGGCAGCCAATGACTTCAACGATCGTCAAAGAGAGGCAGGGTCACTCGACCTGCTCCACAAAGAGAATTAGTCATGGGCTGCAGGCCGCCAAGGCCATAAAATATACAATGACGGGCGGCATTATCGCGTCGTGTATTATCTGGATGGTTCTCGTGATCGATTTGTCTTTTGCAGCTCTTCTCGATGACTGGGTCATCAGCGTTTGCTCTCAAACAAATATACGTGCGTCGGAGATACACATTAACACTTCGTATGTCTCAGACACGCGTGCCAGCGACACTAGAGATGGCTTTCCTTTCTCCAAAAACCAATCTCCAAATGCGTTCATTCGGCGATGAGTTTCTTTTTTATTATTCCTCTTTTCGGGTTCTTCGCCCCCGTTCCAGATCCGAAAATGAAATAAAACGAGCTCCCTGTTCTCGCTCGACGAGTTCCATGGCGTCTAAGAAGGGACTGAGGATCTTGGTAAGTAGCTCATCACCGAGGCAGAAATTCCACTCCATTTACAATTTGGCACGATGAGGCACATTCATGCGTATAGCGCAGAAAATGGCAAAATAAATACATGTGCAAGGTATGGCAAAAAAAGACCAACGACTATTAACTAATATATCTCTGCCCCCACTAAAGTTACTTTTACGAAACTCTCAGTGCTGTGCAGACATGTATGAGTAACCATCTTCAAAATGTATTCAAAATTCATTTTTCACAACAGCTTCACAACAGGTTTCATTTTCCATCTCTTCAATGAAAGATTACCAATCCAACTCGAATTCGACTCGGGAGGGAAATCCTCGTCTCGCACTGGGATGCGCAGAGCGTTCGTTCCACGAGGATTTCGCCTTAACGTTGGGAAAAGAGAGGGCGGATGCAAGGAGGAAAGCAGACATTGAAGGCGAGCAGGCTTTCCTTTCTTCCCTTAACATTGAAAGAACGACCTCATTCAGAAATGACTTTCTTTTCGCAATCCCCCCCTCCAGGAATTCACGTCCAGATAAGAGAGAGAGGGAGAGGGGGGGAGAGAGTAAAGGGAACATTGAATGCGAGGAGTCAACTCGACAATATTCTCCTTCGGTGAGGAAAAAATGAATTTGGGGCCTATCCAAAAATGCCTTATCTTTGTCATTCTCTCTCTCACGAGAAAACCAAGTCCTGCAGACAAAGGAACGACAAGCAAGAGATTCGTCGTAGCTTAAACCGACCTCATTCTACTGGAATGAGATATCTCAGATGAACCGGACCCCCAAAACGAACCCTTTCGTGAAACCAGATTAGAGTCCTTTTAACCGACGTGACATATCACACCCAACGGACAAAACACATCAATCTCTATTTTCTCATTTCCATCATGGAATCCGACTGCACGCCTACACACAAAGTCTTCCGTAAACATTTTCCGAAGATTTCTCTAAGAAATAATTCCAGCCTGCAAATAGAAATTCTGAGGTGCTCAATGACATTAAAGTTCGATGTGAACAGTCGAAATTACATACGGTCTTCCTCAATTCGAAGAACCAACTTGGAGAACGCGTCCGTTCGCACATGCGCGACCGAAAGTTTGCTGTTCGCTTCCTTCGACAGCAGCCAGGGTCCGTTAAAAGAGTTGTTTGGGCATGCCGATAAGGGCATTCCGTGGAGAAAAGACTTCAAGCATCCAGAGGATTGTCGGCACGAGTGCAGTCTGAACCAGGATGAGACGGGGAAAAAGAAGGAAAGGAAATCGACTTATTTCCGTCGTTCATCCTTTCCGGACACGAATACCTCGAGGGGGAATGCGGACCCTCTGCTCAAACTCCGACCAAGGAGAAGCTTATTTACTTCCAGTTTAACCTCTTCAGACCACAAAAAAAAATAAAACCCAAAGGATTTGGCACGCGCACGTGCCACTTAATTCTTACGAGGTTAAGCAGTCAGAATCGACTTAGATTATCTCCATGCGATTTTTGCACCCGAGGATTGGGGTCGCCAGCTTAAATTTCCCATCCGATACTCTCGTGTCATCCAGAACAAGTTTAACATGCACTGATTCTGTGTCATCGTTTTCGCCATCTTTGCAAAGAGAACTGTATCGTAAAGCTTCTATTTAAAAAAATATTTCTTGCTACAAGATGAACCTTGATGAAGTTGATTTATGAAAATAAAATAATGGGTCGTCAGCTTCGTTTCTTTAGAATTTCGAAATCAAATAGCAACTCCCCCTCCAAGCGTCCTACGTGAAAGCTTTCACGACATCACTTATTCAGTAGCACCGACCCGAACTAGAAGAAAGAGGGAACAAAAGAAAGGATATGACAGATAGTGTCTAGAGTGCGTTGCGAATTACGTTTGCATCCATGACAAGCTTCCCTTGGAAAAAAAAAAAAAGATGGAAACAGAATTGCTGAATGGCTACGAAGTGCAATGGGACAGGAGGGGAAATGGGGGAAGGAGAGGGGAAATGAGAGGGGGAATGGGGGAAGGAGAGAGAGAAGCGGGGTTCCCCCAAGTTCTCACGTCGGAAATATGTGTAAATTGATGTGGAATTACGAGGATTTTCCTTCATTAAGGTAATCGTCCTTGGCTGAGGCATCGGATTAGTTTAAAGACGATATAAAAACGTTTACTAATACAAGTTCAACACTTCGAGCCCTGGCAGTTTGAATGCGCTATGGGAGTAGGACGTCATATGGCGGCTCCAAGTGTTAAGAATAAGTTTATCTTTGACAGGCGCCACTGAAAATAAGATTAGTTTCTATGAACACGTCTATCCATGATTTAAACGCGTTTAAAGACGGTATGGGTGCACTTAAAAGAGAATTATCAGTATTATGTCCCAGCTGCTGCTCCATTGTCCGCACCAAGCCGGCGACGGTGTCCTTGAAAAGACGAAACCTGGCTCGGAATTCGTCTCCATGGAACCCATTCAAGAGGGTTGAGCCGATCTCTGATAGTCCTGGCAGGTTCGTTCAGGATCATGCCAAAAACTTCTGCCTTCATTAGTTTTCATTTACACCGTCGCCAGATGAGAGGCAAGAAAAACGAGGCACAGGGTAGTAAAACAGTACGTTGAACTACCTGAAAATCCGTTAAGGGAAATAAACCTGTTATGGGATAAGTTTATCTTTCAAGATTAGTTTAAGAGAGAAATAAACCGATTGCATTTGGTTCGTGTAATAAATCAGTTTAACGATGAGTTCAACCCATTCTGAAACATATTTGCCTGGAATAAGATCAGTTTAGCTATAAATCGATGTGGTACATGTCAACCCTTGTCGTCCATGCCGCCTTTAACATGGCCACTTTCTATTTCGATCTCGCCTCAGGAACACCACGGTAAAAATTCCAAAAGTATGTAGATGTGAATCTTCATCAGTCGGACCGTGCTAGGAGAACATAGGACAATACTTTCTCGGACAATTCAGGGTGAACAGTAAAAGTAATTCCTTTCCTATATCTTACATATCTGACCATGCGGGAGCGGCGATAAACGCTACGTTGAAAAACAAGAGGATGCCGATTCCTCGTCTCCGTTTACGTAGGACACCTGATTCACTGACTGACCAGAATTAATCCTCCAAAACCCCACGAAGGCCAGTAAATCCCGAAAGACTTTCGGTTCAAAGTTCACGGTATCTCTCCTCGCGAGACCAAACAGATCAGGACTTTCAGCCTCGTCGAACAAAAGAAGACTTCAGTGCATCGTCATCCTCCAGAGGCTTAACTTCTAGTGTAAGTCCTTAGAGGACGCTCAAGTACATTGACTGCAATCCTCTTTTCTTTTGTCAGCCCAGAAGAAGCGCGAGCAGATGACGGGTGTGCCGAGTTCTCGTGCCCCTTTCAACTTGGACCCATTGCGGTTCATCCTCGAGGCGAACGGGATCTTCACTCCGGAAATGGGGATCCGGCTCTTCGTCCTAGGCTTTCAGAAATACTGGACGGATTTCGTGAATGAGCTCGATAACCTCGTCAACCTCAGCTACATCATCCCCTTCGTTAGCGGCACCATCTTCCCCAGCCTCCTCGTCAAGACCTCTCACGTCCCCTGGACTCCCAACATCTTTCATGCGTTTCGCTGGTGCCGAAGATTCATAGAGAGGACGGTGAAGCCCCAGCCGAGGTGGAGGATTCAACTGAATGCCCTCTTAGGACCGGTCTGGTGGGCTCTGCGGGATCCAGAATATGGAGCATCAATCGAACGTGGAGGAGCCACCACCACCGGGTGTCATGAGGATGCCTCTCGTGGACTTGTCGGTAACGCTGATTTAAGCTTGGAAATATCAAATAAAGGGTTTGCACGTTTTGCTGTGAACTGACGTCCACAACTTGAAGCATTGTAACAGAGGAGAATTTTCCAACTAAGAATGGTCGAATTTCGGGGCAAGCTTTATATTATTACTGAATTTAGATCAAAACCTGACAGATGTGTCCAGCAACAATGCTTTATTTAGGAATTGAAACCAAATAATTAAATGAAACTAAATGAAGCCTTCATTCCCTCTTCCCCTTAATTCCGGATATAGTTGCGTGAACTAACGCTTTCCTAATTAAATGTAACTAGCGTGAAAGCTCATGCACGCACGAGATGAAATAAGTAGAATGAAAGCATTTTCTACACGTCTTTCTGCTTTCTTCGTCAGCTTGATTGGCCCTGGAAGCAGCCAATGCAGCAGCACTTTGCTCACGCCGTTCCTCTTTTTCATCGGTTGACTTCACTGAGGATCACGCTACTGAAGGGATTAAACTTCCCCACCTTTTTCGTGGCATTTTGAGACGAACATTAAAATTCAAAATAGTAATATTTGAACACTAACTGAATGCTACGGACTAAGGCGAAGCACTATGGAAAACCGACGACGGGACTGGTGATATTAGAAAACTCAAAAGATCACTGCCTGTAATTGCCATAAAACAACGTCTAAAACTCGGTTGTGGGCACTTCGCCCGGGAGGACATTCAATACAATGCTTTTCTTATTGCCAACATTTTCCCACTTTTTCTCAAGTCAATATGGTAGGACCCTTTAGACTTTTGACTTACTGAGTATCGCCTCCAGGTCAAAAGCTTCCGACTCACACCCAGTGTTAAAAATGAGACCCACCAAACGAATTTGGAACTCCCAGGAAGCAAATGGAGAAGAGGGAGGAATGATTCCTGTCATCAGAGGCTCCCAATTTCCCTTAAGTAACAATTTCCAGTGAGTTCAGTCTCATTACATACTAAAGAGACAACTTTTGAATTTCAAAGAGACACGCTTTCGATCAATAATAGTGGATGCGTTCCGTCTTGAGGGAAACCTCAATCGCCTGTCAGCAAATTTTCAGCGAGTTCCATCTCCGTAGCCTTCAAGTGAGACTCGTTGCTATAAATTGAAACGCTCGGGTATTGGATGAACAACGGGGGATGATTTTTTTAGCTCTGATGGAATGCGGATCGGCTTGATAGGACCGACCTGAACCATCGGACGTATCAGTCGGTTGGGAATCAAGTTTCGGTTGGGTGCGAGCAAATACTTCATTGAAGACCTCGAGTTCTGAAGCTTAGAGGCCTAAGAGGGCTGTGGACCGGCCCGATCGGCCTGATATGTTCCGCGGGTCTGGCCCGCAAAGCTCAGTCGACGATCGAATTTCGGCGCGACTGCAAGACGTTAAAATGGTAATAGTGGTAATAGGTAATAGGTAAAAATAGTATCGCCTCCAGGTCATAAGCGTTCGATTGACACCTCACTCATGAAAATCCGTTCTCCGTTTAGGAGTTTCCTGGAATGACACACACAGACATATTAGCCTCATTTGCATATCGATGAGAGCTGACCAGCCATCGAATTTACACAACCCATCCTTAAGATAGTACGTTTTATTCTATGTATCGGATATTTTCACAAGTTTCAGATTTCGCGATATAACTGTCTTGCACAGTTTCCCGTGCCACAGGCACGCTTCGCCGCCCTGTCCTCTTACGCAGCATGCCTTTTATTTCGAGCCGTTCCACTCGAAAATGCGTTTCTGCGCATATCTGCAAGGGGTCTCTCCGACACCCTTGGGAGCATAGCTCGTATACTCATCAGAGACCTCGAGTTCTCGAGCTTAGAGGCCTAAGCTGACTGCTGACCGACCAGATCAGCCCAACACGATTCGCAGCTCGGATCAGCAAAGCTCGGTCGGCGATCGAGTTTCAGGTCGGGTGCGAGCCACGATTCGAATTGTGTCCGATCAAGTATCGACTCGGAAAAGTCAACCCGTGCAGGCCTCTGACGCGTAGACAGGATAACACTTGGCAACAACGTCCAGAGCGGACTTTTTTTAAACTTTCGACTCAAAAAGTATCGCATCCAGCTTCTAAGCTTTCGAATCACACCTCACTAATTAAAATCCATTCATCCGTCTAGGAGGAATTTCCCTCATATAATGCCTTACACGAGCAACGTATTGCGCATTTGCAAGACAAACCTCATTTTCAAAGACGCTTGAGAGACCTTCTCCAAAATCAAGGAATACTAAGCTGTCAAATTTGCGAAAATCCAACTGCCCACCCCACCCCTAGGGAGAAGTTCTTCCTAGCGTGGAGGTTCGTGCCCGAAGGGTCTCACCACGTCCCCAGATTCAGAAAAAGAGACTACAGACAGACGTGTTTTACATGTCCTTGAGACTAGCTGATCCAGTTTGTCGGGGTTGGGTCGGGTGTTATTGGTCTAATATGCCTCGAGGCCAAGGCCTAAAAGTACCTCGCAGCTGAAGCAATCTGGACATCGCTCCGATCTATCACCACAAAACACTGTTGGCTAGATTCATGGTGGCGCCTTTTTCTGGGCTATACTTTTCTTTCCTAGGCTTGTGTCACACAAAGCTACGCCATTATTCAATTTCTTTTCACAGGTCGGAGTCATTCCAAGCCATGCTCTGGCTCCGTTTCCTCCATAGGCTTGAGTCCTACCATACATTTCAGTAGGGAGGCTGGTCGAACCGATTGTTGCCAGTGGCACATTCAGATTGACTTAAGCCGAGATTGCTTCATTAGGTACTGCCTTAACTTTTTAGATTCGCAGTCGCAGCACCTGACGGCAGAAACAATTCTGGATAGGCTTCGCTCAGCCAAACTTGCGGCCTCAACATGATGAAGCAAGCGGCCTGACCATTTTATAGGATGAGATCTTTCGCTGTCCTTTCTCTTAACTTCCTTAAGCTTTACCCCATTTCTGTAAGCTATTTACAATAATGTGGTCTTCAGATTTCGGTTTATCTGTTCTGTGCCTCTGGGTTCATAAGCTGGGCATTTTCTGCTGCCCTTGGGTGGTTTATACATATATACATATATATATTTTTTATGTCGTTATATTTTACATGAGGGGAGAGAGACTCGAATAACCAAAACGAATATATTTCGCAAAGCGACAAACAGGCAGCCCCCTTCTTCGAAATCCAGTCAGGAAACCCTAGACTTCGCCTCAGTCCCAGAGCCTAGATATCGACAACACTCTCCCGCCTGCCGATCGTGGGTAAAGGTCCTGATACACTAGCGAGCCCCCCACCCCAACAGCGAGCGCTCGCCAGCGGGTGAGATATCTTTCAAATTCGTAGCGAGTGGGTAGATCACTATGCGAGTGACCCAAGAGAGCACTCGTCAAGTGTACGAGGATCTTGGTTTTGGTTGTCGGACTCTCCTCACATGCGAAAGCCAAAATAAACAGGGTGAGTACTCGCCTTGTGTATCTTGGTCTTAACCCTAGGGGGTTTAGGCACAAGTGCAGTCTGAAAAAGGATGAGATGGAGAGAAAAAAAAAAGGAGAAAAGGAATCGACTAATTTCCTTCGTTCATCCAGTCTAGACACGAATACCTTGAGGTATTTCTACCCTCCCAGTTTAACCTCTCAGACACGGGAATAAATCCCAAGCGAGTCGGCCACGAGCACATGCCACTTAGGTCTTAAGGCCTTCAACCCGAATGCACAAACTTCATTTAAAGGGAGATAAAGGGACTTTTAAGCTAAGGAGCCCTTTTTCTCCCATAGGAGTTTATGTTTTCTTAAAGGACCGTTAAGTAAAGGAGGTTTCAGCATTCGGGCCTTGGCCTTGACCTTTAGGTGGATAAGCAGTCAGAATAGACTTCGGCATCTCCATGCCGTTCCCAATTTTTGCACCTGAGAATTGGGGGTCGCTAACTTAAACTTCCCGTCGAATGTCCACAAGTTTAACATGCACTGATCCTGTGTCAACATGTCTAGAAATTAACTCTATGGCAAACCTAAAAATGTTACCATGTTACAAGACGAACCTCGAGGTCAATTCATGAAAAGAAAAGGTCGTCGGGTTCATTTCCTTAAAATGTATAGGGTAACTTGGGGTAATATGGCCCTTCACAAGGAATCCCCTTATAGACTGAATAATTAGTTTGGGCGAATTTAAAAAATAGTTCTATCGAAGAGTACATGCAATTGTCGAAATGTGTAGACCTGTTCATCAATCCAGTTCCCACAGGAATTCGGGATACATCGATGTCTTAAAAGTCATATGCATACGATTCTTTGACTCATGACCGTGGAACTAATATCAGCCTTGAGCAACATAAGCGTATATTTCCTAATAGCAGCATGGATACAGAAACCATTACTTCTAAGTTCTTCTATGGTCTCTCCAGAATGCTTGTGCAAAGTGCTAGCCCCTTCACTTGCGGTTTGTAGGCAGTGTTGTCAATTTTGTAATGCGAGCCAATATGGGGAAATAT